TCATGCGGCAACTTGGGTCTTGAACTGCTGAACTATTGACCTTCCACAGCCTGCAGTTCAGCGTCTTAACCACTTGAGCCACCGCAGCTCAATAAATAAATAAAGCAGCTAATAAAGTTACTGCTTTATAAACACTTGACCAATACCTGACTGGATCTGATAACATCTTAAGTAATTGTTGCAGATGTCAAGGTCACTGGCTTTAAGCCACTGCTGTTTTAATATGGAATGCAACAGCTGGTAAAGCAAGTGTTTTTAAAAAAGTAGAATCAAAGGCTGGGGTTACCATTTGAACCAGTTTACCCATTTCCAGCTACAGTATCTTAAGGAGTGTGAGCACCAGAAACTAGGCCCATGTCTGCTGCTGTTCTTGCTGCCAATACAGAGGTAGTCTCAACCAAATAAGCTTGCCGTATTTCACTTGCTTGTCAAAGGGTTTCAGGGGGTAGCAGTGTGGGTCTGAAGCAGAACAGCTTCCACCCTGAAAATCTTGTTGGTCTCTACAGTGCTCCTGGACTCAAATCTAACTTGTCAAAAAGTGTTTCTAGCATGCAGTGTGACTCGGTTGCAAACATGTTCACCTTGTTTTAACACAACTCTTTCTTTGCCATCACACATTGCCATTTCATCCAACCTACAGGGTTCGTCAGTAGCGTCCTAATGATATCAGGGATGCTGCTAAACCAGATTGTGTGCGTTATATACCAAGTTAGATGTGAGCAAGTGAGGCCCAAAAGAAGTCTTGCCCTCTGGTTTAGTTCACATATTTCCAGGTGCAGCCAGAGGCCATCACTACTACTGGAGGAGTCAGGAATGGAAAAAGAGATGGGTTACAGGATTTATTATTTATTCATTCAATTTATACCCCGCCCTCCCTGCTGAAGCAGGCTCAGGGCGGCTTACATAACAAGTCAAAACACATAAAATAACAATTAACAGTCATTAAAAATCCAAACTATCGTAAAGTGCTAGTGACAACAAAATTAATAGTAGTAGTATTGCATAGAGATGGCGGAAACAATCATGATGGAATATTCAAGTGGGATCCAATCTGTGTTGATGAGCAGCTCATCTTGATCTGTTTATGCGGCAGGCACAGGCTGCTGATGGTAGTCCAGGGGACTAGGGCCTTATCACAGTTCAGTCATTAGATGCAGCTCCTTGAGTGAAGGCCCGGTGGAAGAGCTCCATCTTGCAGGCCCTGCAGGGCCCTGATGTCTTCTGGGAGCTCATTCCACCAGTACGGAGCTGCCACTGAGAAGGCTCTGGCCCTGCTTGTGGCCAGCCTGGCATCTTTGGGACCCGGGAGGGCCAGTCAGTTTGGAAACCTGAACACAGTGCTGTCTGGGGAACATGCGGGGAAAGGCAGTCCCTCAGGTATGTCAGCCCCTGACCATAAAGGGCTTTAAAGGTAAGAACCAACACCTTGAAGCGAATTTGGTATGCTATCGGCAGCCAGTGCAGTGCTTTCAGCACAGGCTGGATGTGCTCCCGCATGGGGAGGCCCATCAGAAGCCTGGCTGCAGCATTTTGCATTACCTGTAGCTTCCAGGTTTGGGACAAGGGCAGCCCCACTTAGAGAGAGTCTAATCTCAAGGTGACCATCGCATGGACCACTGTTGCCATGTCGCTGCATTCAAGGAAGGGAACCAGCTGCCTAATCAGTCGAAGATGGTAAAAGGCTGACTTGGCAGTGGCTTCTACCTGGGCCGCCATTGTTAAGGAGGCATCCAAGAGCACTCCCAAACTCCTAACCTCTGGTGCTGGCACTAATGGAGCCCCATCGAAGGTTGGGAGTGGGATTCCCTAACCCTGGACTGCCTCGGCTCAGGCAGAGGACCCCCGTCTTCGTCAGATTCAATTTCAGTTGGCTCAGTCAAAGCCAACCAGCCACGGCTTGTAACGCCAGGTCCAGATCTTCCCATTTAGAGTCGGACTGGCCACCCAACAACAGATAGAGACTGCTTTGGCAGGGAGGGCAGGGTATAAATTGAATAAATAAGTAAATAAATAAATAGAGCTGGGTGCCATCAGCATACTGGTGATATCGACCGTGTCAAATGCTGCCGACAGGTCTAACAACAACAGCACTGCCGATCTGCCCCGATCCAGATGCCTCCGGAGTCAAGTGCTGGTACCTTAAGGGCTAGGAGCATCAGAAACTTAACTACTCACCAAGAGTTATGTCTGTGTGTGGAACAAGGGATGGGAAACAGTTAACATGCTAAGTTAGTGGTCAGAGAATCTTGGGTCTAATCTAGATGAGTCCTAGCAGAACTGTGCTACAGACAAGGTAACTTTCTTGCCTCCCGCTGCAATGCTCTTTGGTACCCCCCCCCCAAAAAAAATTATGCCTCCTGAGCAACGTTCCCTCTAAGCTGTGAAGTCTTGTGAGCAAAAATTCTACTTTGTGAGCTACTGGCATTAAAGTTGTGAGCAAGCGATTTGGCTCCTGCATGAATTAGTTTGCTCTGGAGCCATCCTTCCTGAGCTGAAACAAAAATGTGTGAGCCAGAGGCTAAAAAACTGTGAGCTAGCTCGCACCAACTCAGCTTTGAGGGAACCCTGCTCCTGAGTCAGTGGACCTTCCAGGAATATCAATGGAGGGAGTTAGTGCAGAAAATTGACCAAACCCATTCTCCTACTCCTGGTGAAGGAAATTAGGATCCAAGTTTATATTTTTACATCCCCAGTATATAAGAGGCGGTCAGCTGGCAGCACTGCTTAGTGGCCTACCTCACATAGCAGAATCACCAAAGGAAACACACCATGGTGTGTAATAAGGACCAGAATTCAAAACATCTTGCATATATACAAGACACTTGGTGGTTGTTATTATTGTCATCACCAAGTGTTGCAACCAGGGTCATATCAGCCAATGGCATTTGAACTATGCAGCAACCACTACTTTAAAAAATGGTTCTCAAATTTGCACTTCCCATCCTTACATTACACATGGAGGCTGTGATCCTAAGCCTACTTACTAGGGAGGAAGACCCACTGATCTCAGGTGTACTTATGGGTAAACATCCTTAGGATTGCAGTATTTCAAGAGTAAGAAGGGAAGTCTTCTTCTGTATAGTTCTTCTACTTTTCTGGTTATTAAAGAAGCAAGGATATGGATGTTTCTGTAGGAACCAAAGCATTCAGCTTAAGTTAATGGCCTTCCTGTGGCCATAAATCATAAGGACGTGCTCGACACAAGAAAATCACTTAATTATTGGTTTTACACAAAACTTCTGGTCCCTCTGCTTCAATGTTCTTCACCAATATTACCATCTGGTAATTTAAAACAAAACAAACCTCGCCCAGACCCATGCCAAATGTAACTCCATTGTATGGGCTGGGTCAACATTGTATGAGGTGGGTCAAAATCTCATGCGACCCCATGGGATTTTCAAGGCAAGAGACTAATTAGGTGGTTTGCCATTGCCTGCCTCTGTATAACAACCCTGGGCTTCCTTAGTAGTCACCAATCCAAGTAATAACAAGGGCTGACCCTGCTTAGCTTCCGAGATCTGATGAGATTGGGCTAGCTTGGGCCATCTAGGACAAGTAGAACCTTAATCTATAATCCCATTATACGCAAAAAAAAGTGTCACCACACCATTCAGTCTCCTCTCACCAATGGCTCAGTTGCTGAAATGCCACAGAGCCATTTCAATTGCTGTGGGGAAGGGTCAGTCATAACACTTGTGGGTGGGCACTACGCTGCTGCTAGGAAGGAGGAATGTTGATTTGTATAGGGAGATAAAGTCGTTAGCCATCTTAAAATGAAATAAACAGAACTGAGACACAGAGAAATGTGTGCTACAAGGCAGCTGATGAGTCTGGAAGTTTAAGGAACAGATTAGATATGAGCTAAAGGTGCTCAGGAACCAGATGGGGCCATGGCGTAAGAGCATCTAGATCCAGATTACGCAGGAGGGATGGGTCTGCTGCAAGGAGTGGAGACATAAAGGAGCGATGCAGGCTCATGATTAACAGTTTAAAACTAAGCACTAGGAGAGCCTGCTTCAGATATCAGCTTATGTATTACCTCTTAGGATGGCCTTAGGCAAATCACTTTCACTCAGCCTGCACCCTATTATTCCATCTGCAATACGGGTACAACAGATGACCACTTATGGGGGATGACTGGGTTAAAAAGGTCTCTTACACTGAACTAGAGAAGTTCTGGAAATAGTTCGACTGGAAAATGCCTATCAGTGACATCAAGCATAACCAGATTCCAAATGCCCCAACCTTTTACTGATTGCAAGAAGGTGGATGGAAATGAATTCTTAAACACTGTCCAGCAAAAGGGCTTTGCTTTACATAGGTAGCACATCACAGCATCTAGATGTCATGTAAAAGCCTCTGTTCCTATAAAGCTGATATCATTGTAATTCTGGATGCAAATGGGTTGGGGGAGTCTTTTTATTAGCTGACCTTGCATTTCATACCTGGCAGCAGATCAAGGACAGGAGAAAATGGAATACAAGGGCAGCCACCACAATTCTGTTTCCGCCAAGTGACTTCTTTGTACCCTTCCTCCAGCTCCAGCAGGATGCTCCACCTCCAAGGATACATAATGTTTCATGAATATTCTGTCCTATTCTTAGGAAAGTTAGGGCGAGATTTCAAGAATCCGGGCTGCTTTCAAGAATTTGGGCACCACAGTCCTACACAGATTTATTCCAGCATAAGTAAACTGGTTTTAATGGGAGTAACTTTGCGTGGGATTGCACCGAGACTAAATGCAACCAGATTCTTATCATGGAATCAAGAATCTGATATTCTCCTTACAAGGAGAGATCACTGGCTTATAGCACAACAGGTTTACTTAGAAGTAAGTCGCACGGAATTAAATGAGAAAGGGCGCATGAGATTCCTGCCTTCTTCTGTGCTGCTGTTTCAGTGCAAACCACGAAACTCAGCTGCTCCTGGGATCAGAGTAGGAGCACCTCTCGCTGACTTCACGAGCCTAGAAGCTCCAGAGCTCGATTCTTGTCACTCACCTCCCGGGCCGATCGGATATGCTTGCGCACCGCCTCCTTACAGGGATAGATGACCTCGCCGAAGCTGGGCTGGAAACAGGTTTCCACCCGTGTGAGTCCTCGATAAGAGCCACTCACGAAAGCCGGCCAACCCAGCTCCAGCACTGGGGGCTCAATGTCCGACTGGAGGGGGAAGTAAGTGAGCGACGAGCAATCCAGGGAGCCGTTTAGCGACTGGTCGGCGGAGCCTTCCTCGGCCCCGGGCGGCGGCACTGCAGTTCGCAGGATAGCCTGGATCTCGGGCTCGGAGAGGAAGGAGCGCATCTTCTCCCGGCGCAAGAAAGCGCGGAAGGCTTGCAGGCCGGAGGCGACGAGCACCTCCAGCGCCAGGCGCTGCGCCTCGCTGTAGGCTGAACTCTGAGCCGAGTTGGGCTCCCAGCCGTGGAACCCCCTGAGAGGCGCGTCATCCAGGCACTGGGACAGGTTCGCCATGGGCCACCCGATAACCCCACCAAGGGCACCGTCCCCGGGGAATCAAACTCCGCGGGCGACTTGTACTTTTTATAGGGCGTTTGAACCTAAACTCCCGTCCGCGCCTCTGCGATAGGCTGCTGCGACTCTCTCGCTCCTCCCGTAGGATTCGAGGGTTGGCTACGTTTGAAATTGTTTTTCCAATCAAGCGTGCCGGGAAGAGAGGCGGAGCTGGGCGGGATAAGCTGTCCGGATTTCCACGATGCGGCGTGCTTCTCTCCCCCTCGCCTGGAGCCTGGGCGCGGCCGCTCTTGCGATCGGGTAGGTAAAGGAAGCAAGCTGCAGCGTCAGCGGGATCCAGCTGAAGATCCAGGCGGATAAAGGCAGCCTTACGGGCTGGCTTCTTCACAGAAGCGCTACTGCCTCCATTTTACAAAGGTTTTGGTGGGGGGAGGGTTTTTTTTTGGTAAGTTGGTGTGGTTTTGAGTTACTTTCTCCAGCCTTGGATCTCCTTTCACGTGTAGGGCTGTCATGACTCTCACGCCCCCACTCCTGTCTTTGCTATACATTTGTTTTCATCGGGAGGAAGAGGGCATCCACGTGGTAGCGTGTCACACACAAATGGACTTTGGGACGGAGAATCAGCATGCAATAGCTTGTGGTCTCCCAGCTGACATATGGTTCGGGATCAGATCGTGATTTGTATTAGTCTTTATCCCTTCCCCATATCCAGTAGGAGATTTAGAATAGAATTGTAGTTTTTCCTCCCCCTATCCAGTAGATTATATGTATCTACAATTCCCTGACCCATTTCCTATAGTAATAGTGATAGGGCATTAGTATTCCTTTTCCCTTTCCATATATGTAGTGTGTAGAAAATGCAAAAATAAAAAAATTCCCCGGGGGGGGGGCAAAAAACACACACCAACCCCCCCCCCCCACAACACTCGGGATCGTCCCATGGTGGAATAGGCAGGAATTTTATATATGTCAGTGCATTTGCATCCTGCCTTCTTGCTCTCTCAGGGTACACGGTTCTTCCTCTCCTCCAACAACCCTGTGGAGATCATTAGGCTAAGAGAGTGTCACTAGCCCAAGGTCGCCCAGTAAGTTTCATGGCAAGAGGGGATTCAGACCTAGGTCACCCTGGGTAGGGCAGACTGTGGGACTGCAGTGCAACAGCTAGCAACCGCAAGTAGCTTCTTTCCTCCCCCCACGGCTCTCTTGCTGTCGTTATCTGCACTCCCTGTTCTGTGGGCATCTCTGACATGGTACGACTTGTTTGTTTCTGTTCCTGGCTTGTGGAATACCAATTAACATACATAATGACTTCTTACCAAGGCTCACGGGTGAGGAGAGAATGTGAGAGAGCGCAACAGTACTTAAAGTCGTTTATTAGGTTAGCGGTGGTCTCAGAGCATGGGTGGCCATTCCTCAAGTAGGCTGAGTAGCGGGAGCTGGTGGTGTGCTTGGATCAGTATTGGTTTGGCCTGAACTCTCACCTCCTCCCTCAGGCACTGGGGTAAACAGAAAACCAGGTGAAGGCTTCACAGAAGGAGAGGCTGCTCATCTTCATGTTTTGAACTTTATTTCTGCAACACTATTTAAGGGGGTGTTTGCTGTCCCCCAACACATGTCCGTCAGGCTCATCTGTCCCTGCTGTATCATACAGTGACAATCAGCAGCTTTTGTTTCTGCTGCCTTCCAGTCAAGTCCAGTCCGTAATCAGGTATTTTCTGCCCATCGTTCATTAAATGCTGTCACATCTTTAAGCCAATAAGCTTGGGCAGTGTGCAGGGCTCCCTCCTCTTCCACCTGCTCCTCTCAATGACCTTAGGAGGCCATTTTAGGCCGAGAGGCAGAGTAACGGGCATTAAATTGTGGAATTCCCTGTCAGTAGATGTAGTGATGGCCCCTGGCATAGATAGCTTCCAAAGGAGATGAGACTCAGATTCAGGGAGGAGAAATCATAGAATCACAGAGTTGGAAGGGGCCATACAGGCCATCTACTCCAACCCTCTGCTCAATGCAGGATCAGCCCAGAGCATCCCTGACAAGTGTTTGTCCAGCTGCTTCTTAAAGACTGCCAGTGAAGGGGAGCTCACCATCTCCCTAGGTAGCTGATTGAACAACTCTTACTGTAAAATAGTTTTTCCTAATATCCAGCTGGTACCTTCCCGCCCTTAGTTTAAACCCATTCTTGCGAGTCCTCTCCTCTGCTGCCAACAGGAACAGCTCCCTGCCCTCCTCTAAGTGACAGACCTTCAAATACTTAAAGAGAGCCCCCTCTTCTCCAGTCTAAACATTCCCAAACCTCTCAGCCTTTCCTCATGGGGCTTGGTCTCCAGGCCCCCAATCATCCTCGTTGCTCTCCTCTGCATGTGCTCCATTCTGTCCACATCCTTTCTGAAGTGAGGCCTCCAGAACTGCACACAATACTCCAGGTGTGGCCTGACCAATGCAGTGTACAGCGGGACTGTGACAGCTTGCATCCATCAAAAGCTATTAGCCAAAATGAGAAAATAGAACATTCATGTCTGAAGGCAGTGAACTTTTGAATGCCAGTTCCAGGAAGCGGCATTAGAGGGTGGACTTGGTCTCTGTGCTCTCCAGGTGTATGTTTGGCTGAAAGAGGATGTGGAACTAGATGGACCAGTGTTCTGGTCAAGCAGGGTACTTCTGATGGCCAGATACTAAAACAGCATGGGGGGAGGGAGACAGGAGCCCCTCATCCTCCTGCACACAGTCCCTAGCAGGAGGGCCCCCCCCCAACAGTATTTTGAAAATTTAAAAAAGTATCTAAACTGGTGCTGTATCCCCATGGCAGACTCAGGGACACAATACTGTCTAGTTTGGCCCAACATCACCTAATGAACTTCATGGCTAAATGTGAACTGGATCTGAGTTTCTCTTCTAATCAATAGACCACACTGGATTTCAGAAATTAAATCCTGAAGGGCAATACCAAATGTCCTCCTTCCAGTCAGCAGTGATAATTCTCGATTTTATCATGGTCTCAGGTGTTCCCTCTAACCTGAGTTAGTGTGAACTAGCTCACAGTTTTTTTAGCCTCCGGCTCACACATTTTTGGCTTGGCTCAGGAAGGATGGCTTCCAAATTGCTCAGGAAGGATGCAGTAGCCAAATTGCTTGCTCACAACTGTAATGCCAGTAGCTCACAAAGTAGAATTTTTGCTCACATGACTCCACAGCTTAGAGGGAGCACTCTCAGCTGTGGCTTGAGGTAGCCAGCCCCTTATACAAGCAGCTTTATGGGAATTCTAAACATTCTACTTTTCTCAGAGTTGGGAATGTGATCTGGATAAATAACGTGCCTGTTTTGCCACCTAATTGTGAAAGCGTGCTTGCTGAGTAATAAACAAGTTACTTTGCAGCTTAAATATTTCCACCCTTCTTTCACAGGGTGTGTCACATGGGCCCCTGGAACTAACTCACCTTGGCTTTCTCACAACTCCCAAGAAGCAGCTTGGCAGATAATAATGCAAAAAACTGTTGTTCATGCTTTTCCCCACCCTCTCCCCCTCAGCTCTGCTCCTTAATGCTACAGTAATTGCCAGGGACTCGTTGCTCTGCTGTGCCAGGATCTGGTCCCCTGTTCAGAGACAAGATGGGAAACATGAATTGCACCCCTCCACCCCAAGGCACAGTTCTGCAGTGTCCGTTAGCTGCAGCTCTCTTGTCTTCCGTAAAAGGCTGACCGTACTTCAGGGCAAGGGAATGTGGCACATGCACATACCACATTCCTTGGCAATGCAGTGTTTTTTTTTTAATTTGAAACTGCAGTCCCATGTTGGCAGGTATAGACACAGTGCAGCAATTTGATTGCTTGGGCTTCTTTCTCATATTCGTCACAAGTTACTAGCAATGATCGGAAGTGCCTGTTCCGGCTTCTCTGCAAACTGAAGTACTCTAGTTGTTCTTTCATCTGCGACAAATGACAGAGTCCTTGAGGGTGGGTGAGACTTCAGGAACCATTTTGCAATGTGAAGGAAATGTGCAAAAAAAGTAGTTATGGGCAGCGTATGTGGAATTGAGGACTTTTCCATATTCCCCAATTTGGACAGAGGGCCTAAATTCTATGG